TTAGATAAATGGACAAATCATTTGATATCATTGACGAAGCTCAAGCTGGTTTTAGATCCGGATACTCCGTTGTTGATAACATGTTTTCACTTCAGGCTATGATTCAAAAGTACATTTCAAGGACAGAATTTGCTTTGTTTGTTTTTGAGTTTACATGTATTTATACTCGGCGCCGGAATTAACAATATGACCGAGAATGTAGCATCCTTGCCGGTCCACTATGGTAGTCTCATCGGGGACGTCTTTTTCATGCTGAATCTTCGGTAGCCTGTTCTTCGTTCAGTGGTGGTGAAAGAGTCGACAATACTGCCAAGGCATCAGCTTCCTGACCAACGATAACAAAAACGGCCTTTGTTAGCGCCAACCCTCCAGAGTTAGTCACGACAGGTCAACCAATCATCTCTAGTACTTGAGGTGACCTGACCTCGACCTGCCGTGTGCCTTCTCCGCGACGTGCACGCCTCTAGAGGGATTTGGAGAAGGCCGCACTGTAGATTCTATGTTTTTATATAGACTTAAAAAAGCATTAGACTCCCTAGTACTTTATAATATGTTTAATAACATTTAAAGTAATGGTGCCAATGAAATTTAATGAAAGTTCTTATTTCAATGTATTTTCAAAGTTAGTAATTAAATCAAAGTAATCAAAGTATCAAATACATCGTTTAATGACAATAGGCGGGAAAATATATCATGTGATTGTAGCTTCGGGTTCGATCAGGTATTACATTGCGCAAGACAAGGAGACGTGAATTCGCCCAGAATATTCAACTTATACATTAATGACCTCATATCCAACATGAGAGAAACGTGTAAAGATATATTTATCACGAGTGATATACCAGATACAGGGGTGGCGCGATAGCTCAGTTGGTTAAACCACTGCTTATCACTCCTGATGTCCCGGGTTCGATCTTGGGAGAGATTTATTCAAAACCAAGGCATATAATATGCATAAGGTTATGCTATATCAACAATATAATGAACAGTTATTCAAAAGTAATTAACAAAACATATAAACATAAAATAAAACGGAATTAATGGTAGTCGTAACGGCGGTCCACTACGTCATTATGAAAAATGGTCATACAATGGCGCTAAAGTAAACGTAACTTCGATATATAAGTACATAGGTCATTTATTTACCCCAAAATTAATTTGGACTACGGGAAAATGAAGGCTAGCTGCACAGGCTAGAAAAGCCATATTTGCAATCAGACGTTTCATTTGGTCAATTCTCACATCAAGATATCTTTAAGTTCTTTGATTCCATAATAGTTTCTACCGGTATATTGATATACGGAGCAGAAATTTGGGGTCACTCGTATTCACCCGAAATAGAAATGGAAAAGATGCAAATTGAATTTTGCAGATACTTTTAGGTGTAAACGATTCTGTGAATAATAGTATGGCATTATGTGAATGTGGTCTTACGTTATGCTCAATTTACTACATTTAATACATCAAATAGTGGTGATGCCAGTGACGCGTTATCAAATATGTAACATTTGCAAGTTAATATTGGATGAAATAACTGGATTCGCGAAATTTTATACAAATACGGATAGGGTAATATTTGGATATGTCAAGATATGGGAGATTTTAATGTGACAGTTGGTTGTTCAGATACAAATAAAGAATTCTGATGGTGTGTCAGTTATAAATATATTTTATTGTTTGTAGGTTCAATTCAATTGTCGTTATAAAAAGGGTGTCCTACAAATGCACAAAAAGCATAAATTATCAAAATAATAAAAGCAGAAATAAAAAGCAAATATAAGCAAGCACAAGCAAACAAAAGTAATAAATTGTAATTAATTTCATATTTAGATAAATGTTTACTTATGAAGTTATATTTAAAAATATAAAAACTCAATTCAGGTGATAAACAGCTGATTCAGACTGATATGGAAAATATCTGGATTAAAATGAATTTAACCATAATTTTAAAAGAACAAATGACAGGACTGGCACAATCTGGGATTTTCCTGACTGTTAACATAGTCGAGTTCTATTCTGTCTGTTAAGGATGGCTGAAGACCATCCTTCTTCAAGAAGCTAAGTGATTACTTTTTACAAATCCCGCCAAACGTGAAAAAGATGTTATTTATTCGTTAGCCAATGAAACTTGTTAATTTTGACCTCTCACACAAAGGTTAGTGTTAATTAGATTTAGTTGTCATGAAATTTTAATGATTAAAAGGGATGAGACCACTTAATTCAGGTCAGAATGATCTATATAAATTACAAACTGTATGAGTCTTTTATTTTTCTTTAACTTTTATTATTTAAGTCCGCAATTTTTGACAGGGTTTCTTGACTATGAAAAATTGATAACTAAAGACATAACAGTAGTTTAAACTGAATTAAATTTTTTATAAACACAGTGAAAATTATTAAAGGATAATTGCAACCTGAAAATAGACTTGTTATGTTATCTGATACTTGAGCTTATCAGTGATTAATGTGGTCAATATGTGTGTTTTTAGTAAATTGTAGTATCAACAACAGCAGCCGTGTGTATGGTTACCCTCTTAAGCCATGTGACGGGCTTGTCGCTACAAGCTATGTCATTATGGATATATGTGCAAATCGAGAAAAAGTCGCATGGTCTTTGTAAAAGATTCCATAAATGTAAATGATAATTAGAGGAATGTCTGTACATTCAACATATATTTAAAATATCAGTCCTCATATTTACAAGTGGAGAATATAAATTGCTCATAGATTCTTAGGCGACTGCAAACTGCCTATACCATGCAGCCTTTGAAAAAGTGAAAACAAAATCTACATCTACAAATACCATTCAAAGATCTACCCTGATGCTCAAAAGATACATCTGAAAATTCTCTGAATTGTAAAGTGAAAAATAAATTAAGTCAAAAGGAAACAAAAATAAAATTTCACATTATTGATAAAGACTGCAGACCACTATTGAGACAGCAAACTGCAGCTGATCTGGAATTACTTAAATTCTGCATAAATTATGTGAAAACAAATCAAAATAACATGGACAATATTTTATCAGAGTTCAGTGACAGATTTCAATGATCTGGAAAAACTCAAAGAATTTCAGCTACAGCTACATGGAAGAAATAATAGTTGTAAGACCTGATATCTGGTTAAATCAACATAATTTTCATTATTAATAATAACTTGCACATAAGTGCCAAGCAAATTTTAAAAGACCAAATATACAACATTAGGCAAGCTAGTTATAATATTCAAGTAAGGTAGAATCTATAACTAATTTAAACATGCACTACAATATGAGAAATATTTTAATATTCTTCAAAGTAGGGATTTCAATTGACACTATTAAAATTAAGAACTTGTAATAACCGCCATCGACACTGAACTTGTGATGGCATATTAAATAACACGAGCACGCTCTGCAACTATAGGAAAAGGTTCTGAGCAACATTACTTACTAAAATGCCCAATCCTTTAATCTTGAAAGAAATATGTACATCCTCAATTTAGTTAAATAGAGAATACAGAATCTCTAAAGAAAGCCCAACACGACAAAATTGAAAATGTTGCAGGCTCGGTTTGATTGAGCCTGTTAAAACTACCTATACTGGCATGCGAGCAGTTCCCGTACAGAAGCAGTACCCGTATTTTTTCATTTACACGCTTGATTTTTACTTGCAATCTTCAAAAATTCATTTCAAATCAAGCAGATACATAAAAGAGACAAAATCTAAGTGTCAGTTCGGCAGTACATATAAAAATCTCATTTTAAATTACTTTCACCTGTGCGTTGTCAAAACGTGACCTTGTTTTTTCTGGGGGATTCCGTCCTTGAGCGCATGCGCTAAAATACCTACACATGAGGCCTGTTAAAGGGTTTTCCACTAATACCACCTGTTTACAGATAAGTAGGCAATGTGATGAAAACTTGTTTAATTATCAGAATTTTGACCAATATTACTAAATAAAATATTTTTATGGCTTTGATGCGTAAAATATCATGCATACAAGCATGCCATCGCATGTGAATGCGTTGGGGTAACGGTACCGGGTAATAGATACACGCTTTTAGTTTACTTTCTATTTCCTGAATTACATCTATTTATCTCTTAGATAATGGTCTGTTCAACAATTGTAAATGAAAAATAGGTCCGATATAATAAAATTGTATAATTATAATGGGTTAGATTTTAAGTACGGGAACTACTTCTCTTCATACAAAATAATGCATAATTTCGGTACCCCATATGAGGCCTCATAAGTAAGGGTTATTCTATGTTTAGAACATAATGGAATTTCCATGATTTGTGTGACGAGCTGAATATTCATGTGTAAAATTCAAATTTTGGTGAGTGAGCGTAATAAAAAATAATGTTTAAGTAACTATGATTTTTGTACGGGAACTGCTCGCATGCCAGTATAATTAAAAAAAATATATTATGTAAAAATGAATATACTCTAATGAAGCTCTCTTATTTTTGTTTTGAAGTGAAATAAAGTTATTTGTCTGTCTGTCTGCCTGTATGCCAGTGTGTCTAGTAAAATAACTCTGTATATTAAAATTCTAAAAGCTATCATAAAAATTTTAACATGAAAATAATTTTCTATTTGGAAAAGATTTAATTATAATAACCAAAACGATTTTGTTTTAACTCGCAGCTATAAGCTCCATCACAATACTTTTTTTCAAATTTTAGAAAAAAGATAAACATGAAGTATTTGGTATCTATTATTTTCAATGGTATTGTGTATTTTTAAAAAGAATGTTTGTAACAAAAGATGGCGACGTTTTTCCTTATCTTTATATGATAGAATAGGTAAATATAGTGTACACATGAACATCTTCTTAGATTTTTAAAAAAGATAATTTGATGCTTTTGTATTGCAAATCTTATCATAATCAGTTACAATCTTATCAATTATATTTTGTTGTCACTTTAATAAGTTTACACGCAATTTTAGTTTCACAAGGAAAATATTGAAAATACAGTAACAACATTCTGTCGAAGAGGACGAATCGTATTTTGAAAAAATATATGTACTCATTGGACGATCTTTATATAGAAGTTTGGTTTCGCATGTGATGTCTTATTATATTTTAAATAAAGAAGACGATACAAACATTGTGTATTACCTCTATTAAATTTCGTATAGCCACAAAACTGATACGCTAAACACATAATTTTGATATCAGGCATTCACTAAAACGGTTTTGAGGAGATCGCTGCTCATGGATATAAAGATGAAGTTTTCGCTTTTCATGTTGTTAACATTGATTGTCGATCTTCACCTGACGGAAGGAGAAAGCGATATTGTACAAGAGAATCAGGTACCAAGATGTAACTCACGGTTTGATACTGATTACAAGGTAAGGAAACAAATCTTTTTGATATCTGTTTTTAAAGGCACAGTCGGTTACTTTTCAGAGCAAAATATATTTCTTTCCAAAACATTTCGTTGATACTACTTTGAAATTAAAAAACAATATGAAGAATATGTACATCAATCTTTTTCAGCAAGAAAAGCTAATGAAATCCACGTAACTAATAGTGTTATTATATACATGCTTGAATATTTTATTGAACTTAAGGTCAAATCTTGAATAATGTCATGCAATAATAATAACAAATGCATTTCTTGGGCATAATGGGCCTTTAATCTATTTACCAGCTGATCCAGAAACTTGTACAGTTAGAGGAGAGACAGAAAACTCTACATGAGACAGTAGAACACCAGAGTAATCTTATTGAAGGACTGAGAAAACAACTGAAAGGTATTGCTGTTAATACGAGTTTCAGCACAATAAACTGGTGTTATTTACTTATGTGTGTTTTCAGTCAATCAATTACTTCACAGTCGATTACTTTAACATAGCAAAATAATTTGCTTTTTTTAGATAACATTTCAATAATACCACTTTGAAAATGAAGAATAAATTTAAAGCAATCTATTGTTCATATATACATTTTTAAATTTGACATTTGTGTATTTGAATATGGACAACCCTTGGATGAAAAGAATAAACGCGCAAATTTGCTAATGCTAATCTAACACGAGTGATTCATTATTTCTTATAAAATTGATTAAATTAATTTTTTTAAACCATTGAAGAAAAAATCAACCTTTATAACAGTATATTTGTAACGTAACATATAAGGTAAAAGATGTTTTATCGGTGTCCATTCTTTCTCATAAATATTGTTATAGAATCTGCGTTGCCTCGCTGGGGAGATTGGAGTTTTTGGAGCGACTGTAAATTAAACTGCTCTGGGAAACACGGTGGTAGGGTACAAAGTAGATCGAGAACAACCATTGAACATTCTCCGACAGTGGGAGCACAAACAGAAACTGAAGAGAGGCAATGTAATAGTGTACAGTTTGCAGGTATATTACTAGTTATATTTTTTTCACACGTTCAGTTTTTTATACGTTTAAAATATTTTTGGCCGTTACGCGAAGGTCATTGAATAGCAAAAAAAAAAGAAAAAAAAAGGAGAAGCGTTGTCATCAAGTGTCCTGACGCATATTTTTTGCGTTTCAGACATTTTTTTTTTGCGGAATTATGACCCTTTGTAAAAAAAAAAATTAGATAAAAAACCTCAGAGAAATAAACTTTTGCGCGCAACTGTCTCTTTTTTCTCAAGGGAGTTTGACATAACTTTCTAAGAAGCTTGTATATCAAGTGCCAAACGCGCAGAATCAAAATTTTTGGCAGACATGGCCCTTTGTTGTTTGTTTTACAAATATTATACATAGATAAATACAATTCTGTGTGCAATTTTTCTTTGATTTTAGAAACAACTTAAGCTTTTTTATATCAAACTGAAATGTTATGCCTTTGTTATACATCATATTATATCACTGTACATATTCCATTACACTCATAATATACAACTATAATGTAATGAACAAATAAGTATTATGGATTAAAATAATTTGTTCTTAAGTTTGTTGTTAGTAATAATATGCATGCATCTATTTAGATATAATTAGCATTTCAATTCTCCAGAAAACTGACAATATGCATGTACCAGGGCATTAGATGACGAAGCTTCTATGAAACACGAACGTTGAAATCCTGGTTTCGCCGAATTGCGTTTCTCTTTTTGTATTTTCTGATCGAAGATCAGTAAATACAAAGCTATCATTCAATCTTTGACACATAAGTTTCACGACAAACCTAACAACAAGTAGTTCTCAAAACAGCTTAAAACTAGCGATTTAAAAGAAAGACATATTCTTATTTTGTTACAAGTATCCAACAAATTACAACGCATTCAAAGTTTAAAAGAAGCGTTGGCTTATAGAATTGTCAATAAATGCACAATCACAAATTACGCGGATGAATATGATTTTAATTAATGAAAATGCTATTTTTAGCGATGTCGATTACCGAATACTACACAAATAAATCTGACTGCCGAGTAGTGGAATATATAGATTCTACATGTCGGACTGTTTTGGCGAGAAGATTTTCGCTAACTTATTTACAACATAAAAATAAACTTACACAGGAAAATTACATACATATATACAGTACGATTTAGATTGAAAAGATCAGAAAATACCACATAGCTTGCAGCCCTTTGATTTTAATTAGTTTTTATAATTTTTAGGCTGTATTAAAAGTTATGGAGCAGACGACAACTTTGGCGTAACGTATGACTTTGCAGATCAAATTGCCGTATCTACATGTACGGCTCTTCTGTCAGGTGGTAATTATGTTAATGCTGTGAGACGAGCTTGCTCGTATAGTTCAGCATCGTGTGAAGATACATGCAAGAACCTTGGGTATTTATCTTATAAACATTTTATTATACTCATTTGAGCTTTTAGAATCTTCGGCTCTCAGTCTTCTGCTGGTTTTCCGCAAATGTTTTAAAAACAATATTTCTGAAACTATACGGCAAATTTGCGAAAAAACATAGTTTGCTGAAATCTTTTTTAAGGGGTTACATAAAGGTTACATAGGTTATTAAAAGGGGTGACATGCACATCGTTTACATTGCACTTTCTTTTTTATCTTGTTCTCACGAGATGCTTATTCAAGTTAACGACTAAATATGTCATTATACCGAGTCACTTCTAAGTCATGACTGGGCAGAATAAAAAATTACCTCTTACAAGGTCGTGACAAGAGGAAGAAAAAAGTGCAAATCTATAAGAAGCATTACTTTTGAAAAAATAAAAGACTAGCGCAATAAAAAGACGAATCGTGTTATCAAAAAACTGTTTCGTTTCCATGTGTATATCAGCTAATCCGTTATAGCCTCACTTCTCGAAGAAGAAAAAAATGAGCTTTTGCCATAACCTATTTTCGGCTTCCTTTGGTTACGGTAATTTTTTCAGGAAACATGTCACTTATTCAAAACATGATTACTTGTTATACATCATTGTTATCATAAAAGAATGCCATTGCAAGCAAATGGCAGATAATCCTAAAATCATTTTTGCAATGTTATGACTTCCTTGACCTGGTTAAACATTTTGTTACGGTCCATTTTTCTCAGAAATTATGGAAGTTATTCACCATTATATGACACCGTCTCAGAGAGGCAAATAATTCTTAATTCATTTTGTTGCAAAATTAAGCTTTTTAAAACCTTTTATTTGCTATGGTCATTTGTTGAAAGATTGTCAAAGTTAATCACTTCAGACAGGTTACCTTACATTTTATTTTTGTTCAGTTATATATGTCCTTTTTTACTTTGAAGTTTCGTTCACCCTTTTCGGATAAAGTTCGACTTAAGTTTGACATCCTGTAGAACTGAATTTAAGTTTGTTTCTATAAAAAGAACCATGCGAGAGTTTTTTTGCAGCTGTGGATGTCTTGTTTAACTTGAAAATATTTGGAAATATTTTTGCATGAAAAGCACAATGAATGTTTATAAATTACAATTGTTTAACAACATATCATTTATTACATATATTAAATATAGTATCATAATACAATTTAAAAGTTTGTTTTACACTCCATTTTATAAATGTTTTGAAGAAATGAATATTTTCTAGGCGCATCTGGGATATTTTTTTCTACAAAGGGAACAATTGATGGTATGTTATCAAACTAAATTTAAGATAAATGATATAAATTGGAATTAGTATCAAAAGAAAAGTTTCTTGTAAAATTCAATAATCAAATTTTCGATTAATGTTTTGGAATCATTTCCACTGCAACAGAGATTTTCCAAAACGGGCAAAAAGTACTAGTATGTTATCAAACAATTTTAAGTCCCAAGTTTACATAAAAAATGTATATGATATATAATCTGATTGGATAAAAGAAACAGAATATATATCTGCATGCCTCACACCACAATTTTTCAAGAAAATCAAACTTGAGAAAAAAATATGTAATTTTCGCCAAAATATCTCCATTGCAAAATTTTGTCTTACCGGGTCAAAAAATAAAGACGCAGCAAAATTTCTACACTGTGGAGAGGACCTCTCCAATAAGTAGGTTTTCAATGGTCATTTTAAAATTACAAACTGAAATCAGGAAATCTCATTGGTCATTCTAAAACTAGTATTAAAATATAAAGGATCGTCTAAATTATTAAGTAATTTGAAGGATTATCAGAAACAAACTTTCTTGTTAAAATATCTTTGTGACAATATAATATGATTGTGTTGAATAAATCGATGCGTACTTCGTCCGAGTATCTTAAATTTACAGGGAAGAACTGAATGTAAAAATAGTTTTAATTGGTAATTTCAAAATAACAAAATAAAATCTCTTAATTTTATTGGCCGTTCTAAAATAAAATGTAAAGGATAATTCTTGTCATTTTAAGATTACTAAACTGTAAAAGGTAGTTCTTGCCATTATGAAACAAAATGTACAGGATAGTTCTTTATATTTCTACTTAAATTTGTCAGATATTAAGTTATGTTTTACAATACTTCTTGCATTCAGATCTCTTAAAATTTTCTAGTGAACAGTTTATTTTACGTACGAACTAACTGAGTTTATTTTACACAAAATGAGTTTTAAATTATGTCCAAAATAACGAGAATAATATCGGAACTTATCAGGTACCCTTAGTTTATGATGTTCAATAAGTGTCTTATACATGTATATCATATGATAACTGATGTGTTCAATTGATATAATGTTTATATTTTTATATATTTTAGTATATTAATCAGGTTTTTAACAAAATAGTTGCGTTACCGACTGCGTATACATATACATGTCGGTGTTAGAAACTGAGTGTGTTCAATTACCGAAAAACGACAGGTTTGTTAAGAAACGCATAAATCTAACAGTGTTCCATTTTATCAAGATTAATATCATTATGTCATTGCTATGCAAGCTATCCTAACATTTCTTGTGTACGGACATAATCCCATTCGGACAAAATCTCCTTCATGTATTTTTGTATATCTGGATCCCCTCCATGGGTGGACATAATCCCCTTCATGTGTGAAATTTTGAAGTGAACAAAATCCCCTTCATAAAATTGCTACCTAGGACAAAATCCCTCTCGGAGGAATTTTCGGTTTATAAAGTGGGTATGAGAGCGACATACTGCATTATGCTGTGTGGTAAATATCTTAATGTATAAATAAGTAGAAATTATTTCAGCAGAAATTCACATTCAATTAGCACATTTAAATCACATTAAAATTGCTTTGTTAAAGCATTCATAACAATCAATAGTAGTGCAGTGATCTTGATTTGATTAAATTATCACTCTTTCATCAATAGAAATTGTAACAATAGATAGTATATAACAATTAGAATTATCAACTAATAATTATTGGCTAATAAAAGTGTTTTTCATACTAATCAATTTAAAACAATTAAAGAAATTGCCTAATCAAATATGTGTTATGTAGTTGACAATTTACCATAACTTTAATGAAAACTTTTAAACTAAATAAAGGTTAACTATTGATACATAATGAAATAAAAAAATAAAAGTTTATTATTCATCAATTTTTAGGGAGTATAGTGATACATTATTCATCATTTTTTAGGAGCATAATAATACATTAGAAACCTATGAAACAAGGGGATTTTGTCCGGGTAGTGAAGGGGATTTTGTCCAGCCTGGCAAAAACATGAAAGGGATTATGTCCACCCATGAAGGGGATTTTGTCCTGGTAGGCGAAGGGGATTTTGTCCGAAGGGGATTATGTCTGGCATTCAACATTTCTATATGACTGTGCATGGAAAACTAAGAATTAACCAGTTTTACTTCGGCCAAGTATCTTTTATCAAGATACTTCTTGTTGTAAAGGAACTTTTCTTAAAAACTTTCAGATATTCACTTTAGCTTAGAATTATTGTACGTAAAATTTATATAAAGGGCAGATTATCCTATTTTATCCTATTTACCTCATTGACTATCAAGGGCAGGTAAATCTTCCTAGCAACTTTGCAGAATTATCTCCCTTTTCCATGATGCTTAAAAATATCAAGCGAAAAGTGGAGGAATGCGCTGTCTTCGGTCTTTGTTTGTTTTATAATACCAAGTTTTGTTATGACAGTGGTCCGATATTTATTCTTACCAATGTAAAATCAGTGTGTCATAATCTCTTGTTTTCTTCTTTTACAGGAAAAGGTGTTTCAATGCATTGCATGTATATCGAGGCTCACCCGTTTTGCCAAGGAACAAGAATGGGGCGCTTGGATTACAAGTGTATAAATACAACAAATGTTCGGGGGGTTGTGGACCAAATTTTTGCTGCTGTCAAAATTAACTCATGATTTTGTATGATAACAATTTGTTGAACTAGCTTGTATTGTGGGTGCATGTACATGTAGTTCAAAATAAATTTGTTTCCAGGAAGCTTCAAATAAGTATCGGTTCTTATTCAAATTGCATCAAATAATTAAGCGCATCAAATATTGCGTGTGATAAAAGATAAGACGCTAATTAAAGATTTGTGCAAGCCATCTAAAGTGTCAACGTCAAAACCCCAAGATGACAGTTTGCTATTATTAGACACATATCAATGTTTCATTCGATAAAATTTGTAAATTGTCAATCACATTTCTAAGAGATGGTATGCAGTACTACATGTATAATGTTTTAGTTTATCCCCTGTGCCACCTTTCAAAGTGATGAAACGTTTAATTAAACCCCTGTGCCACCTTTCAAGATGACACACATTACTTTAACCCGTGTGCCACATTTCAATCTTTAGTTGAATAAACACCCACAGGCTCCGACGACACATTGACTTATATTAAGCCATTGAACGGGCAACAAATAATTTATTGCGGCTCGATTGTACTGAGGAAGCAATAAAAAATAAACAAAACAAACAAACTCAAAGTATATCCAAATTTTAACCGAGGCTTAGCTTCCAGTTTCTGTCTGAACTGGACTAAAAATATTTGGCGAATAAAATTTAATCTTACATAGCCGATAAAAACCTTCAACCTTAACGCCACTTTTAAAAAGCAGCAAGAATTGCATTAATCTTTAAGATATGATCGTTTAAAAGAAATTTAAAATGTAAGTTTTAATGATTTCTTTTTAATTAATCATATTTACGCTGATGTTTAATTTACTTCATTTCACGTAAGTTTTCGTTTGGTTAATAACATAAGTGTTCACCTGATTGTGCGCATGTTTGTTCTTACTATTAAATTTCGGGTCATTTTATCCTTCCCGGTATTGAGTGAATTCACTCTCCGATGTAGAGGTTCCGGTGTTTTTTTCGATATATATATATATATTTCTGTGACTTCATATTTTACTATTTGGGGTATTCTCATTATTAATTTTATACAAAACTAAAAAAGAACTCTCTTTTTGGCTAAAATTTCATCCCAAATTTGGCAGCATGTCGGCCATGCATACGGAAAACATGTGTCAGAAATCAGTCCGAGTCCCAAAATCTTATCTGTCAGTCAAGCATGTCCGAAAGATATGATTATCATTTTGGCAGTAACAGCTTATTTTACTTCAAAATGCAATATAATGTGCTCATTGGCCTCCCGTGCATCATAATAATAGTTTCATCACAAAAACCCACTTGCATACATATCTTGTATCATTTATTAATTAATCTATTAATCTTAACTTCACATGGGAGTAATCCCTCCCGTGAAAATAACGGGGCGGGCAAAATCCCTCCCGCATCAATTACATGTATGTATGTTGAATAGTTTGGATTTTCTTTTCAATGCAGTCAACATATTAAAATTGTAATAATGAATATTTTTGTTTTCCATTTGCATATGCGTGTTTGTATTTGCTTGAGTACATTCCTGACAGGCATCTGAACAGTAATTGCTAAAATCTGTAAGTGCATATTTATTCACGTAAATATGCATGTGAAGTTAAGATAGTCATGGTAGGAGATATAAATGAAGACCAGCTGAATTATTCGAATCATAAACTTCGCGACGTGTTATTACTGAACAATATGACCAACGTTATTCAGGTACCAACTCGTGTTACACCAACTACCAGTACATTAATTGATCCTATAGCAACAACAAATAACATTCATGTTTTAGATTCGGGAATTTTCGAAACGCCAAACGAAATAAGTGATCATTTCGGCACCTACATTTTTTTCAAAATTGAATTTGATTCAAATAAACCATTTAAAAGAAGAGTATGGAACTACAATAACGCTGATTTTACTACATTTAATACCCTTATTCGTGATTTCGATTGGTCGTTCATTATCAGTGAAAATATTGATATTGCATGCGAACATTTTACAAACACTTTTTTAGATATTGCTAAGCGATGCATTCCTACGTATATATCGTTAGTAAGGCCTAAAGTACTCTCCTGCGCATCGGTCGAATGTTCCACTATCGCTCACTTTCTTAAGTTACCCAAAACAACAGTCATTTAACATACATGTACATATATATTTTTATTACTGGGGGAGGGGGGCTTTTTCTACTGTGTTTATTTTACGAAAGGACTTTTCCGCCCTGTCATTTTCACGGAAGGGCTTTTGTCCGCTCTGCCATTTTCACGAGAGGATTTTTGTCCGCCTTTTCATTTTTGGATGGGAGGGCTTTTGACCGGAAGGGCTTTTGTCCGTTTCCCGTGTCAAAATTCATTCTCGCTTTATAATGGTGTTTTTTTTATATTGTAAATACCCTGCTGAAATGGGAACCGCCAGGGTAAAAACAACATAAGTAGGCAATGTAAATTACGTATTCCCTTGATGTTGCTGCAATGAATTTCATTACAAGTAGTACAAATAGGAAAACGAAAACTTAAATACTTTTGCATTATATCATATATTCATAAAAATAATTATATTGCATATGCATGAAAAAAAGAGGAAAAAAAGACTGTTGTCCTTTCAAAAATGGAATTGAATGATTTTCTGTTTAATTTACTTTGTTAATATCCATGTCAGTTTAAGTATTCTATAGTCCCACAGGTTATTTATCAACACTTATCAATACTTAATCCACATTTCTTACATATCACCATTATAATTATATAAACTTTATTTTCAGAATAAAATATATCATTTAAATAGATCTTGTGTAAATCTCAATTTGAAGGTAAGAGGGATAATGAGATAAATTTGACAAAATTATGCCAATTATAAACATATTTATTCTTTAATGTATAAAAGGCTATTCATGCTTACAATCATTACCTTTAACTAAAGCAACCAGAAGTTAAGATAAAAAAATAACTAATTGTATAATTTGCCCCCCCCCCCAAAAGAAAATAAATAACTGATTTTTTTTCAATTTATCATTTCACAGTTTTATATTTAATTACCAGTTTATTAAACAATAAAACCAAATGCCTATGCTAGAGTTTAGATATTAAGCATGAAACATCTTCTAGTGAGTGTCTACAAAGTTTGTTCAAATAAAAGCCCTGGGGTCAAAATTGGCCCACGCCCCAGGGTGTCTTTGATTTTCCCTATATGCATATAGTAAAAACTTACAAAATCTTCTTTAAAGACTCAAAGAGCTAGAGCTAAGATATTTAGCATGAAACATGTTCTAATGGGTGTCTACCAAGTTTGTGTAAATAAAAGCCCTTGGGTCAAAATTGGCCCCGCCCCGGGGGTCATTGATTTTACTTATATGTGTATAGCGAAAACTTAAAAAATCTCCTTTGAAAAAACCCAAATAGCTTGAGTTTAGATATTAAGCATGAAACATCTTCTAGTGAGTGTCTACAAAGTTTGTTCAAATAAAAGCCCTGGGGTCAAAACTGGATTTTTTTCCATTCATCCTTTCACAGTTTTATATTTAATTACCAGTTTATTAAACAATAAAACCAAATGCCTATGCTAGAGTTTAGATATTAAGCATGACACATCTTCTAGTGAGTGTCTACAAAGTTTGTTCAAATAAAAGCCCTGGGGTCAAAATTGGCCCACGCCCCAGGGTGTCTTTGATTTTCCCTATATGCATAATAGTAAAAACTTACAAAATCTTCTTTAAAGACTCAAAGAGCTAGAGCTAAGATATTTAGCATGAAACATATTCTAATGGGTGTCTACCAAGTTTGTGTAAATAAAAGCCCTTGGGTCAAAATTGGCCCCGCCCCGGGGGTCATTGATTTTACTTATATGTGTATAGCGAAAACTTAAAAAAATCTCCTTTGAAAAAACCCAAATAGCTGGAGTTTAGATATTAAGCATGAAACATCTTCTAGTGAGTGTCTACAAAGTTTGTTCAAATAAAAGCCCTGGGGTCAAAACTGGATTTTTTTCCATTTATCCTTTCACAGTTTTATATTTAATTACCAGTTTATTAAACAATAAAACCAAATGCCTATGCTAGAGTTTAGATATTAAGCATGACACATCTTCTAGTGAGTGTCTACAAAGTTTGTTCAAATAAAAGCCCTGGGGTCAAAATTGACCTACGCCCCAGGGTGTCTTTGATTTTCCCTATATGCATATAGTAAAAACTTACAAAATCTTCTTTAAAGACTCAAAGAGCTAGAGCTAAGATATTTAGCATGAAACATGTTCTAATGGGTGTCTACCAAGTTTGTGTAAATAAAAGCCCTTGGGTCAAAATTGGCCCCGCCCCGGGTGTCATTGATTTTACTTATATGTGTATAGCGAAAACTTAAAAAAATCTCCTTTGAAAAAACTCAAATAGCTGGAGTTTAGATATTAAGCATGAAACATCTTCTAGTGAGTGTCTACAAAGTTTGTTCAAATAAAAGCCCTGGGGTCAAAACTGGCCCCGCCCCGGGTGTCATTGATTTTCCTCATTTGTGTATATCAAAAACTTAAAAATCTTCTTTGAAAAAACCCAGATAGCTAGAGTTAAGATAATAAGCATGAAACATCTTCTAGTAAGTGTCTACAAAGTTTGTTAAAAAAAGCCCTTGGGTCAAAACGGGCCCCGCCCCAGGTGTGTCATTGTTTTTAACTATATGTGTACAGTAAAAACTTAAAAAATCTTCTTTTTAAAAAACCCAATGAGCTAGAGCTTAGATGTTTAGCATGAAACATCTTTTTATTGGTGTCTACCAAGTTTGTTCAAATAAAGCCCCTGAATTAAAATTGCCCCTGACGGAGGGGAGGGGGGGGAGTAGATCATTGTTTTTTATTATATGTGTGTAGTTAAAACTTAACATTGTGAAACATCTTTTAATGGGTGTCTTCCAAGTTTGTTCAAATAAAAGCCCTGGGGTTGAAACTGGCCCCGCTCCGGGTGTCTTTATACAGGTGAGCGACCTCAGGGCCACCATGGCCCTCTTGTTTTTAAATGTGTTAACTGAAACCAGCTGTGCTCGGAGTTTTCATTGGTAACAAAACAAACCACAAAATTAAACTCTTTTCACTGTATGTATTCAGCATGAATTAAATGCATTGAAAAGATGCAATTTGC